TCTCATCAACTCTCACGGACTCTCATCAACTCTCACGGACTCTCATCAACTCTCAATGACTCTCATCAACTCTCACTGACTCTCATCAACTCTCACTGACTCTCATCAACTCTCATCAACTCTCACGGACTCTCATCAACTCTCACGGACTCTCATCAACTCTCACTGACTCTCATCAACTCTCATCAACTCTCACTGACTCTCATCAACTCTCACGGACTCTCATCAACTCTCAATGACTCTCATCAACTCTCATCAACTCTCACTGACTCTCATCAACTCTCACTGACTCTCATCAACTCTCACGGACTCTCATCAACTCTCATCAACTCTCACGGACTCTCATCAACTCTCACTGACTCTCATCAACTCTCACTGACTCTCATCAACTCTCACTGACTCTCAATATTGACTTTGAACTGGTTCACATTTTAATGAGATTGAGAGTTGATAAGAGTTCTCCCAACGCTATCGCACGGTAATATCTATTATATAATAACTACAGTGAAACACGCAATTTGATTGGTCAATAGCCGTCCTGCACGAGGAATTAAAATACCTTCGCGGCAAAATGTCATAGTTTCACTGCAGTTATTTTATAAAACAATTACCAAATGGTAATGGTAATGATGTTGCTCGATTTTCGGAAAGTGTAAAAATACACTCGCCTGCGGCTCGAGTATTTTTACGCTTTCCGAAAGTCTCGCGACATCCCTCGTTCATGGATCACGCAATCCTGCACTGAAAACCATTCGGTATTCCTTTAATCAACTCTCAATTGTTCTCGTTTGACCGGTTCATGAGAGTTGAGAAAACTGTCACTCTCACTTTCCAACTCTTAGTAACTCTCAGTCTCGTTTGACCAAGGCTTTTAACGATAGAAATAACTGTTTAATCTGTATGACTCATTGCTTTCCCACCTGGCTTGACTACAATATAAACCATTTGCGATTTTCTTTGTGTAGATCTTCTCGTCATCATGTCGTTACGAACAGTTCATCTAAACAGTCTCAATGCGAATATTACTTGTTCATTATGTGGTGGATACTTTGTCGAGGCTACAACTATTATGGAATGTCTTCATTCTTGTAAGTGATGATCGATGATGTTTTTCATTGTAACTGTCCAGAGTTTCGAAATTACAAAGATACGAGCTTGTTTGAAGTCTTAGACCAAACTCATGTTATTTTATACCCGCTCAGATCGCAGCATTGTCAGCCTTTTCTTCCAGCAGTTCTAAAGATGGGGGCGGGGCGGGGGGTCAGCAAGAAAACAAACGCATTGAAAAAGCACGAAACGCGTTTCCACATTATATTACAATCACACGGCACTGCTTCATTGGACGTCTTCTCTATACTCTACAGAGCCCTTTTATGATTAAAAGCTATGAAATATTGCGGATGAGAAATTCATGGTACCAAGTTTTGATTATGCCATTAAACTGTTACTTTTCTCATTTTCTGTACACTATAGTTTGCAAGAGCTGTATCGTAAAATATCTGGAAACATCGTATAATTGCCCTGTTTGTCAAACTGAAATTCATAAAACGAGACCACTTCTACACGTCAGGTAAATGTACAGCATAAGAGTAAACCAGATGCTCTTCTTTGCTACGAGTCTTCGCTGCTGCACATCTTGGTATTACCATTTGCATTCAACCTTGACGATTTTAACGGCGCGTTGTTTACGTTTCAAATGTGAATGTTTGCTGACTGCTGGCAAAATGTGCACGGTTGACCGCGGTAAAGCTACAACGTTTAAAAACTTAGATTTTTCGATTAGTTTTTATCCTTATAAACAACAAAACAATAGACACTCCAAAAATAGTTAACATTTTAATCATTTCAGTCATCATCACTGAGACAGGAATTCCTGATGACTGAAATCTAGTCGAAATGTTGATTAAAATGTTAACTATTTTCGGAGTGTCTATTGTTTTGTTCTTTTTAAAATTACTCAATGGCAACTGTGATTTTATCCTTATGTACGTCATATATCTTTTATTCTATCTTGATCAAAAATCGTCAAGGTTGAACGCAAATGGTGATACATTCAACTTCTCAGCCTCAGGGCAACGCAGGCAGCGGAGAAGTTGGATGTATTACTTGGTACCATGAATTTCTTGGAACGAGAATGATCTTGGTATTATCCCTTATAATTTTAATCTGGGAGGCTGGTGCTATCGGTTGGGGGTCACAGAGATGGTAAAACTACTAAAAGGAACGACTTCTGTTATCCATCGTTGAACAAGTGAAAGGTGGGTTGGAGAACCTCCACTTCGAAGACAAATTTGACTATTTCTGCAATTTTGTGTTCACCAACTCATTTGCTTATACACCAATTCGTACTACATGTTCTATCCAACAAATCGTGCACTTCGACGTGATTGGTCAATGACTCTGGTAAGGTTCACCATGTGGTTATAAGGCTGGGTTGTATACCAGTTACAATCAAATGAAGTTATGCATTCTGTATATTTGCAGACCTGATCCTGTTCTTCAAGATCTAGTGTATAAACTGGTCCCATCTTTATACGATGGTAAGGAAATTTTTTGTTCGTAGTTGAAACCAAGGAGGTTTATTAGCGAGCACAATTTATACGATCCTAATTTACTAATCCATGCATGCACCAATTTCTGCAATGATTATAGCTCTAACCAATACCTTGCTAACGTGAGATAGGTTTTACTTTATCATGAACGTAACTAGAATGTTGTAAAATTTATTTTAAATTGATACAGAATACCATAAAGCAAAGCAAGAATTCAAAAAGCGTATGTCACAAGAGGAAACAGGTATACGTTGATATTTGAAAATCTTTTCTGCGGCATATACAGTAGATCCTCGGTATGGATAGTTCTTATTAACATATACTGCATGGGGGAGGGGGGGGATGAAGGTTCATGAATAGTGCTTTTCAACCAATTTTTATCCACCGGATATCACCTCTGGACAAAAAAAAACTGGTTTCCCGTTTCGTTCCGGTTAAAATTGTACAAATACTGTTTTGTCTACAATGACAGACTACAAGTATCGCGGGAGCTGAAATACAAATTGTTTTAAAAAATATTTTCGTTGTTTTTTGGCCATTTTTGTTTTGTTGTTGTATGTGCGGAAACAATTATTCACCTCAAAGCTTTGGTGAATATCCTTGCATGCACTATTCACCTAGACCACTTCGTATCTGTTCAGTCTCATCTCAATTCAAGTTTTCTTGATATTAAAAGAGTGCTCAATACTTTATAGCAGAGCTAAAGTTATTTATTTATGAGATAAAGTACAAAACAAACGTTGTTACTCAGAGTTTCATGCCTGAGTTTACAGATAATCTTCGGAAAACTAAAGTTCTACATATACAGCCAATTCAAAAAAGGTTGTCCTTTGCAAACCTTAAACTCTAAACCTTAAACTCTACGCGCGCAAAGCACAATGGGAGCACAAATTTCAAGCTTAGTAGTGGAATATTGCAGCTATTTGTGAATGGATTGTTCTTGTAAGAAGATATTTACCATATCTCTAAGAAATGGGCCCCATATATGATTTCTAAAATGATTAAATGTTGCTCCCATTAAGCTTTGCAACCCTGTGCAACCCTGCAAGTTAATTTTATATGTTGTAAAAAATAATATAAATCTCAAGTTTAAAGCTTGTTTACAGCACAAGATGAAACATCTGAACAACATGGTGATAGTAAAGTTCCTCATGTTCCAGATCCGATTTATGTCACCTTGGAACAACGACAGTAAGTTGAGTTACTAATGCATAAGCAGATTATCCAATCAGATTCGCCCATTCACATTATGCGCGGGAATTTAAAACGAAAACATAACCATAGTGAAGTAAGGATCTAAATCTATTCTAGTATCATTTAATATTTATTTGTCTGGCTTTTTAGGAGAGATAAAAACAAGAATGAACAAATAAAGGTTAGAACAAACGAAATTATACAAAAGCTTTAAAATTTCCTTCATTGTTGGATCGTTTAGGAATGTTCAATATGCTATTTGCATTTATTATATAGTAGAGAGTGAGATACTGAAAAATACACAGTGAGATATTTTCCATATCTTCACTAGTGAAGATATCAATCACGTGACTTTTTCCAATTTGGTTTTGAGCGTGAAATTTCACAATTTTTTGCTTGGGACTATATAATAAACAGAACATTACACGGTGGCTTGAAGATATGACTTTTATCTTCTCGTGTTAAAAACAATATTTTACTCACTCGCTGCGCTCGTTCGTAAAATATTGTTTTCACCACTCGATGATAAAAGTCATATCTTCGCGCCGCCGTGTAATATCCTCTATTTATTTTCAGATATTTCCAATTCGATATCTACGTTGTCCTTCCTCTATGCCAGTGAGGATATTGAAAAAGTTTTTAACGATGAAATTTTTCGTCAAAGATTCCCAAGAGGTAAGAGTTTTTGCACGAAGTGAACAAAATATATTCGGGAACTTATAGCCTGTCATCGCCACCATGTTGGATGAATTAGACGATCCTTTTAACTTGAACCCCTGCCAATTTGCAACCTCGTTCCCAGGCTCTTTGCTCCTGGGAAGCAAGAGCAAAGAGCCTGGGAACGAGGTTGGCCAATTTGTTGGACACCACCTACAGTTTTGGGATTTGGAAGCTTACAGCACTAAAAAGCAAAAACATATAAAAAATAACTTCAACGTTGGAACTTACGATATTGCTCATATTACTTCGTCTTTATTCGAATTTGATGCACCTCTTACTCTATTTAAATTGATACTCTATTTTATTGAATTCTCAAATTGAATAGGCAATTCCATCTTTTAGTTTATGCGTGCAGGGGATGATGGGAAGTAAGGTATCATATTACTAATTATGCTGAAAAATTTCAATAAAAACTGCCGAAACAACAGAAATATTTCAATATTTATAAGTATAAGCTATCACTCCGTGTTCACACGGCCACCATTTTTATTTTTTTCAGCATAATCAGCAATATGATACCTTACTTCCCATCATCCCCTGCACGCATAAACTAAAAGCTGGAATTGCCTATTACTGTTTGTGTAGAAAGATATTGAAAGGAGCCCGACAGGCATGCATATTCAAAATCTTGATCCGGAAAATTGAGACTCGGAAATGCCATTTCCTGCTCTACCCCACAGTTGAGTATTATACATACAGGGTAATTGTGTCTTAGGTTGAAATTTCGCGGAGTGATGAAGTACTTTTTGACTATCTAACATTAAAAGAGGTGGCTAGGATATATGGCAGATATGGAAAGGTGCGTGACATTACTTGCTACTTACTTATACTTACAAAAAGAGACAACCTATAATACCGTTATTAAATTGCATACTTCACATTTCTGCAACAAGTAATATGTAATTATTAAATCGTGACTAAATTCCCTTTAGCTCGCTCCTTTGGATCTATATTTTGATGTTATTCCGAAGGATAAAGTGCAAGATTTGCCACAGAAAACTTTAACTTACGATTGGATGGGGATTCCTGCTCAGGTTATCCCTACCTCTTTCAACGAAAAACAACATAACTTGGATGTAATACCTCAAACTGACATTGAGAACGAGACTGTGCCTGAGAATACAATGGATGTTGATCCATTTAATATCTGCACTACTGTGATTGATACGAGCTTATGAGCATGGGATCTTTTTGGAAAACGAAGATCAGACAATTAACCCGGATTATCGTCGCAAAAACGGTTGTAGCACCCACGCCTCGAAACATTCCCATTCAACCCAACAAACGCCAGGTTGAAACCAGTTGCTTCGACTAGCACAAGCTATCCAAGTCAGCTTGTCTATTAATGGAAAATTGCCTTGGTTTCGGAATCATTCGGTAGTACGATGACCAACAGTTGAGTGTTGAAAATTTAAGGGCCAGAAAATTAAACTTGACCACTCTATTTTATTCGAATTCATTTCCACTATTGCTAGCACAAAGTTTTGTGTCATCAGTCTAAAAACTGGTTTGATAGCACGTTAAATGAGTAACAATTACAATTTTACCACATGGAACTAGGTAAAAACGTAAGGCTTACATAAGCCAGCGATTTAGGGTATATATACTATTCATATTAAGTTGTAGAATTTGTTTACATAATAGATATGTATCTTGCCATTTTATTTTTAAAACATAATCATGACAAAGAATTAATTGTGTGGAAATTACATAACATCTGTATATCTTTTGGTTAAATCATTTACAAGGAGTTGGCCACACAGGTGAATTCTACAGTAGCGATGCCTACTAACACCAAGGAGAACGTTTCATTTCTCACTATCAAACACCGGATCTCTAGAGTCGACAAATTGATTAATTATAAGAGAATTCGACTCGATTTTAAGATAGCTCCCAACAATTTTTAAAAATATGAAAAATCATAAATCAGATCAAAGATTTTGAAGAAACTGTATACTTGCCACCATATAAGGCAAAATCTAAGTCTAAGAATTGGAACTTGGTCACAAAATTGACGTCACCACTGTTGTTATGGCAACAATGGCGATTCAACATTGCCAATATTTTTGCTTTTAACGCATTCAAACGCCTGGTTACGTACCCCCAATTTTTATTTCATAAAACATCCTCCTGTGGTACAGTAAACTCTGGCCAAGTTTAAAAAGTTCTATTTCGAAAAACTATGTTTATTATTTATTAAAAAATCTACAGTACATAACTCGGTCAGATAATCAATTGTATTCCACAGAAAAACTTTTATGAAATAAAGAGCGGGGATAACCAGGCGTTCTTTCAAGCAAAATACGTTAAAAAAAAACAAAAATCGTTTTGGTTATCTCTCAAAATTGCTTTGTTATAGCTTTATTTTCCAGTTTATACTGTTAGCTACGTCATTAAATGCATTTGACGCTCTAAATTTGATTCATGCATATTTGCACATTTCTTCTGTTAAATGAATGTCGACCACGTCCCACCAAGGACTCAATTCTATCCATACAATACCATACCTCATAATTTATCTTAAATAGATCATCGAGTTCAATTTACATTTGAGAAGCTTTTTCCAAGCTTTTACACGCATCTTTCAACTTTCCCACAAGATCCTAAACGAAATAACGGGAACGACGTCCGATGAGATACCAAAACATATAAATTAATGTAACTTATTATATGGCAAGCATCACTTCTGGTGATATGGCGGACTGTGATTGGCTGAGAAGCACTTTCAGTGGTCCATTATTTTCCCGTGGCGGTCCATTACGTAAAAACAAACGCATGCATTTTAAAACAAAACAGCAAAACTAATTGAAAATTATAATTTAATTTGTAATAACAAATAATAAGATATAATAATAAGATATCTGCGAATGGTTTTAAGTGGAAAGGAAGGAATACATTGGCAATTTTTGTTTTCTTCGATCAAATGTGTACCACGCTACTGATATGCATTTCAATCGTGCATTTCTTGTTTGCTTCGAGTATAAATGTCTATAATCAGTATAATGCCATATAATAAACTTTTTATTAACCTCGCTTGCTCGGTATGCACAGAGAAATATCGGACCTCGGTCTTTTTGTACAAAGTCAACATTATGCAGCATGACGCCAATCTCGTACCCAGAGCCAAAGAGGCATCAGACAATTTGTTTGGTCGGGCTACATGCTTCGGTAGGTCGAATATTTTTGTTCAAATAATTGAATAGAATTTTAATGCCTAGAACTTTTTGAGTAGATTATAACATTTCCATGGTGCAAAAAGAGTGTCTCACTGATTGGTAAAACACACGAATTTCGATGAATACTAGACTCTAAATTTTCTCATTTGTGCTGGCAAAAGTGTTGTAAAACGTAGGTTGGGTGAGCCTAGTTCCTGGCCTTTTCGCTTCACCTCATGATTTTAGGGGGAAATCGACAAGGTTTGCAGGTTGACCGGGATAAGCTGTATTATTCGCGACCCAGTTCGGATATTTTGCGAAACGGACAGCCTGCAAGTTCATGACAGCCTGTAACTCGCCCGCGCTTGGAAGGCCAGGGACTAGGCTGGGGTCGGGTGTGATGAGATAGGGTCGGGTCGGAAACAGAAACCAATTTTTAGGCCTGAGTACTCCAGGCAAATTTATAACAAGCGGGGAGAAATAACTTGTCACACTAATTAAGAAGGCATGCGATCGATAGTTCCGCTTAGGCAATGAAGATTCCATTCAGACAAAAGAGGTATTTCCTAACGGAGTTCTATAAGCATGTCCCTTGTGTAACTTTCTTTAATGTTAAGTTTAAAATTCCAATGATACAGTATTTGCCTGGTTTGTTATTGCAATGGGTTGGAACAAGGTGGGATTTGGGTGGAAACGTTGAGGGAGGTGCAGCGGTCTAGCTCACGCCCCCCACTGGAATGTTAGGGCTTAGAACGTACCCTTCCGTTGAAGTTAACCACACGTGATGTATGCACGTACTGTACATATGTCGGTGTATTCATGAATTACGACTGTACGATTCATAATTTTGCCCCTTAAGCAACACATAAAAAAATGCCAAATTTTCATTTTGATCTATCATTTAACTTTGAGGGGAGGTGCAATAAATCTCAGGGGAGGTGGAAAACGATCTCAGGGGAGGTGCGCACCACCCCCATTCCTCCCCTCAAAATCCAGCCATGGGTTGGAAGAGCAGATAAATTCCGAAATACGTAAAAATAACGGGAATTCATAGATTTTGTGTAGCAACCGTGGGAATATCGGTACCGCATGTCTACTGTCGGGTGCAATACATGCAATCTCTAGTGCCTGGGAAAAAATCCACATTTTGTCGAAAGTACCTGCAACTGTTCCATTGAACAAGAAAACTCTACATCGGAATATCCATTTTTGTTGCTTTCCTAAAATGTTAACACGAAGATGTAACAGTTCGCATGAAAATCAACTCACTAAGCTACTTAATGATTCAACCTCGCAAGCCAGGCTCTCTACTTCCGCTGTGTTTGAGAGGGAAGCGGAAGTAGAGAGTCTGGCTTGCGAGGTACTGTAGGTTGCTATATTTACGATTCTAAATAAAATATTTTTTACATAACATTGTTTTATATAACGTACAGGACGTTCGGTTGTAAGTCCTCGCTTCATTTTTTCCATACCTCCGTTTTTAATGAAATCAAGTACGTCGGTTTATTAACTTTATCTAAGTATTTGTTCTAAAAAAAACAAAAGAGAATCTTGAATCACAGCAATTGAACTGAGAAAGAAATCAACAGTAATAGAGCGAACAATCAAATTCGCGTCCTTGGTGTATTTCGCACTAGCGCGCACAGTAAATCGGTGAGCTCAACTAAAGCCTGGTTCACACTAGCAATTCTATCGGCGATTTTTCTCCAGGCAAATGTGATCGAATGAATGACATGCAAAAGACTTAGAATTGTTTGCTTCTGAAAAGCGACTCTACGGTGGCGAAGTGGTTAGCGTACTTGCCTTTCACCTCTAAGGTAGCTGGTTCAAGCCTCGTGTATGAGGACTTCTCAATGTGACTCGAACCCAGTCCTCATGTGAAAAGAGTAAAAACGTCAACGCTCTGCCGAAAGTCGTGAGTTTTCTTCGGGTACTCCGTGTTTCCTCCCACAGGGAAAGTTGACAGGGTGGGTTAGGCACATAAGGTCTGGAGGCAGATCATTAATGAGGTATGGACTAATAGCGGCTGCTCAAGCGCCATTTGTAAGCTCAAAGTCTACCTCGGTCTGCTTCACGTCAGTCTGGTTCTAATTCTATCGATTCATAATGTAACCAGTCACTGAAAAGCCCTGATAGGGAGTGTGCTGTGAAATATCTGTAATCTGTAGTTCACTCATTTCAGACCAGGTGATGTTTTAACCCCATCTGAATCATCCAAATGAGTCATTTGCATCCGTTAGAAACACAAAATCGCCGACAAAATTGCTAGTGTTCACCAAGCTTAAAACATCACCTGATCACTCTGGGGTCTGTTTAGTTGTCCGTATAGAGAATTGCCTGTAGGGAGGAGTTTGACTGAACATACTGCAACTCACTCATTGCCATCAACTGCGTATCTCACCTTAACATAATAATCTAATCTCCAATCAACGTCAACAATGTGTGGAAATACTGTCCTTGTGCTAGGAGTGGAGAAATAACGATGTAAAAATTACTCATAATTCAAAACAAAAAGGACATTGGCATACCAAGTCGAAGAGTGTTTTGTAGATGGAAATTTCGAGTGTAAATTCTATACATTTGTATACCTATATAACCAGGAGGTTAGACCGCTGCACCAAATTGGTCAAAAAATTATCGTTATCGTCCGACTGAAAACAAAATCGCTCGGGTGAGCGATTTTAAAATCGTTATCGTCAAACGATAATTTTATCATTTTCGTTGTAGTGTTGACACTAACAGTGACTAACATAATTTTTTTGCCAATCATCGTGTGTTTACAAGTTTTCATATCGTTATCGTTGTGTAGTGTGACCGGGCCTTTAGCCGAGCTTAGCTAAGTTTAGCACAGCTATATAATGTTAGCCTCCTCCGCAGGCATCGCCTTTGGAAATCCAAGCAACGCAGGTGAACCATGAGATGCCTGCGCAGGAGGCTAGGCTAACGTCATGTTCTTAACTTACTTATCCGTGTTTTATGCAAATTACTACTTGCCCTATACAATATACTACTTTTCCAGTAGAGGTATACCTGCTTAACAGTGCTTGGATGTCTGGTCTTGTTCCCTATAGATCATAAGAAATGTAATCATAGCAATGTCAAGTTAACAGAACATGTCAAGTTAACAACTTTGAGTTGAGTGGACTATATCCAGTATACTACTACATCTAGCGTCTTATGACTTTACACTCGTTTAAATATGCTTTATGACACAATGACTTTGAAATAAATATGTTTTATATTAAGAGACAATTTTTTCTATGTTGCATACTGGCGTCGAAATGCGTTCAAAACCTAAAATCTTTTAGATGGTAGGTAGTTTTTAGACTGCGAGCAGTCCCTCGTGGAAAGGAGGTACCGCTCGCCGTCTCGTAGTTTTTAGTATTAATGCATCTAACGGTTGAGAAACATAAAATAATAAGAAAATTTGTCAATTAAAATACATTTACCAACCATGCTTTATAATTGACACCTGCATATTTACAGCAATATGAACACAGTTTACTGACATACTTTTCTCTTTGGCATACCGCATAAAATCTCTTCATTTTAGCATTATTTTACAGATAACAATACTTTTTAAATTTGTTTGCTGATTGAGCAATTGGAATTTCGAATGTAGTTATATAACCTGAACCAAGTGCATAGTACTGTGTTATTATTACGCATTAGTTTTGGGCTCGTGTTACGTAACATACACAAAATCTCTTAATTAATACTACTATTGTCTAAAAAGTATATAATTTAGAGTATATAATAGATTTGCACAATATCTGATCGTCTTACACTAAATACTTTGTTCAAATATTCAATCCTGTCTGAATCCCACTTGCATTCCTCTAAATATGAACTGAAAACATAAAATACACCAGTCAGAATGCCAAATAATTTTTAAAAAGACCTTGCATGTAATTGAAAAATAGCTACTTGTCAATGAGTTCATGCAGCAGCTATAAGCTGTAAGTTAGATTACCGGTACAATGTTATTTTTTTCCAGCTATGCAGATATACTGATATTATTACGGCAAAATGGCAAATAGACTTTCTTGTTTACTGCCTCAATGGCCTCTACACGTTAAGGCTATACTTTGCCTATAGTCCGATGTTTCATGTACAACTATGTTTCTTTTTTATCTTTAGCCCAATCACAAGTCTACTGCACACAAAACATGATGAAATATCCCACATGGCCATTGGAACAAAGTGCAATGAATGGTAAACTGTGTTAAAGTTTATTAGCATTAAATTTGAGCAAAATGTTTCACAAAATATGGAAATTGCTGAAAGGCAGGCTTATAAGATCCCTACTGGCAAGGTGGGTGCAGTTGGATTTGGCAACAGAAGAGCAGGAAAGCTAGGGAAGTAGGCTAGGAAGCAACTGCATGTCACATCTCAAAAGATTAATGAACCTATATATCAATGTCTTCCCCCAAGAGGGGGAGTGCTAACTGTTGCATTATCAGGGACGCCAGAACTGGGAGGCAGGAGGGGCAGCCGCCCCGTTGCCCTTTATCAGGAGGGGCAAGGGGGCAAAGGCGCCCTTTCAATGTTTTCCAAACATCTCTTAGTATATATCAACACATCGTTCCGGCGTCCCTGCGCGTTATTGATTATATACATATTTAATTGTCAATCCCAGTTAAGAATTTCTATAAGAAATTTCTAAATAGGGAATTTACTGGGCATTGCAGAAGTGAAAACAAGTGCATAAATTACTCTACAAGCAAGGGCTTGTCATTACATGGATATAATTGTCTGGCATTAGGCAGAACAAAATACCATTTATTATATAAACATAAGTGTTATATAGAGTTTTTTGCCACTGAGAAAAATCGTATTTAAACACACGTAAAAAATACGATATTTTTACGCGTGAAAATATCATTTGTTGTAAAACGCATTGCCACGGACGTTTTATTGTTTTTCACTGAATTTTGTTTATATAATAAACAGAAAAATACATGGGTGCTTGGAAATACCAGATTTATATCTCGTGTTGAACATGATATCTCACTCGTTCGCTGCGCTCACTCGTGAAATATCATGTTCAACACTCGAAATAAATCTGGTATTCACACGCACCCATGTATTATTCTCTATGTATTCATAAATGAATGAAATAAAAATTTCTATTTCAACTTAAACCTTATATCAGTGAGACTACTATCAGTTTTCACTGCCTCTATGACCAGAGTAACCAGTCCATAATACGCTTCCTTTAATGTGCCTGGATTTACTGAATCAAGGGTATTGGATGCTGAAAATAAGATCAAGTGAAAATTATCAATGCAGAGAAATGGAGAATTTCAAAATTTCTTTTAATTTACAATGGGGGAAATATCCAAAGCAACCAAAGACTTGACGTGGAACAAGTCCATGATCACGGGAAAAATCTATTTATTATATACCATGTGTCAAATTTCATGTTTTCTTGCATCTTATTGGATGAGAGTGCATCATGTGAAAAATTCAACTGTTTCCTGGCAATGGCTCTGAATAATTTATTCTGTTGTTTTTTTTGTTTTCTTTGACACTTGGTATATAATAATATACTTACTTGACTAGGACTTTTGGGAAAAAGTATGTTTTGTGGTAATTGTGGACCCTCTACGGCTAATGTTTCGGCACAGACTAGAGATTATACAGAAGCCTGACATCTTGGTTTTTCCTATGATTTTGGCCATGGTCCTAGCCAGTGTGCTCATGAGAGGCATTCAACCCCTGATAATATTCAAAATGGCAGATGTCCAGGGGGGGGGGGGGAATGCCTCTCATAAGCACAGTGGCTAGGACCATGGTGTCAGCATTTTGCTGACGAATCATGGCATGGCAGCGGTTATGCTTTTTGGCCGAGTCAACCTTCTGTGTGTCTTTATTCTGTGGTTTCGGGTCCACAAATCATACTGTTTCCATCGGTCCAAGTCAATATATTAAAGTGTTAATGGTTGATTCCTTTAATTCCATCCCTATTCTGTCATTCTGTGCCTATTCTCTATGCCCAATGGTTCGTAACTACTGACTGACAACTACATATCGGGGTACATTACATCATTTACATGTGCATATTTGATATTTTTACCATCAAAACTGGTTTCATCCTTCTTTCCCAAGATGATGTCAAATGTAATTTCTACGAGTTTTTTAAAGCTTTTTTCTGGTATACGGACGGATTCTCCACATAACTGCAAGCCCTCTTGCGCATCGTGGTTTATATCCATTTAAACGAGGATTTTAACTGAGAAAATGAGAAAAAAAACTCTCAGAGCAAATATAAAAGCTTCGTTCGTGATAACTACATTGAATTGTATTTGAAGTATTACGAAACAACATGATGTAACCGCTGTTTTCTACACAGTAGGCTCCTGTAAACAAAACATTGTGCGGTTTGGCTACTTTGCTGTGATTTTGCACGTGCTCAGTGTAGTACTGTAAATATTAAAGAAGAAAAACTGTTGAATATTTGGGTGTTATTTGAATGTCAAAATAAGAATGCAAAGAATATTGATGAGAAGCGTGTCTGTGAGGAAGCAACTCAAGTACTTGGTAAGATCAACTTATCAAGTACTTATAAATATTTACTAATTATTAATTTATTAACAGTATAATTATATAATTACATACAGCCTGAATTAAACATGAATTTCATAATTATATTACCTGGTGGGGGGTGGTACTTTATAATTTTGTAACACCATGCAGGCAAATTTAACTCGTCAAGGGGAGAGTGCTGCCACTCAATGGATTAATGGGGGGTGTGAATAGGGGTATACAAATCCACCCAAATTTGAAGCAAAGTCTAAATTTGAATCCGCTAAAAGCTCTACTATGAAGTCACAATCCAGGATCCAAACTAAATTGCAAGCTAAATCCACAATCCAAGGCAGAATATTAGATCAATCCGCTGTATTAATAAGATCCGCAAATCTGTGTAAAATCTGCGAAATCCGAACAATTTTTTCTGTGAAATCCGACAATCCAAAAACCTATTCCCCCCCCCCCCCCATTAATCTGACTGTCTGCCCATGCATCCTCTTAACCCTTTAAAGGTGATGTAAAGTCCGTTCTGCGCAGGCCTACATTCCAATGGTCGGGACCCGACAATTGGAAATTTGGAATGTTGTTAATATATTGCACCTTCCGAACTTTCTTGAATTGAATCTCTAGTCTGTATTAATTTACAAGCAACCAGAAGAGTGTTAAAAATTCAGTATAATATATATCTAATCATATTTTACTGAGTTCAAAATGTAAACAAAGTGTTTGTTTACGTTACGGACTTTACATCACCTTTAAGTGGCAATGCATCTTGTAATGCACCCTGATGCCAACCTCGTACTCAGGCTCCTGGAAAGAACCTAGGTACGAGGCTGTCCTGATTCTCCCTACTTTATTATTGTACCTGTCCATCAATGCCAGACAATTTTACTCATCAAGGGGAGAGTGCTGCCACTCAATGAGTTGATTTATAAATGGTACACTATAGGTTCCCCAAGTACAGTGTGTTAAACATTATGCAGAGGCCGTATTTGTTGCTGCAAAAGAACCATTTGTAGTTGAACTTGAAGCTAAAAGATATTCATGGTGTTCATGTGGGAGAAGTAAGAAACAGGTAAGGACTTGGCTTGTTTGGTAAGGATCGTCTTTTAAGGCCATTTTCCACTAGGTGGAATTTTCTGCGCGGAGCATGAATTTCTCTTGGTCTTGTGATTTCTCGGGTGGAACAATTAGAAAAGACAAAGGGAAATTCTGCTCCGAGCGGTGGAATACGGCCTTTAGACACATTTAAAAAAATCCAGTTGGAATTTCAAAGGAATTTCTGTTTAGTGGAAATTGGCCCAAATTTCAATAGGAACAAGGTGGAATTCATACAGGAATTCAAATTTCCCTATTGGAATTCATTGAACTTTGGACAGAGAAAACCATTCTAACTGGAAATTGGCCCAAATTCCAATTGGAATTATGATTCCAATGGAATTCCAAATGGCTTTTTGTATATATGAGGAGTGAAGGCATGGGGCATGCGTCCACAAGCTCTGGACATACAGTAAGACATGGAGGTCGGCAATAGTGATTCTTCAATGCTATAAATAGGAAGAGAAAATATTGGAACATTTGGAGCTGCTCCTAGCTGATGAATGGATTAATCATCTGCAATCGAGATTATACTCAACAATAATCAGATTGTATATACCAATCCTGCACAGCACGATACATTGATACTGGAATTCAGTTCGTCATTACTGTATTATTATTATTATTATATTATATTATTATTAAACTTTTAGTATGTGTTTTCCAAGTTGTCTTTATGGAGAAAAATTCGCTGCGAACTCTAAAGACAAAAATATATAGTAGCGGCACTATAACAGTATAAGATGACTGTATTATTAAAATTGCGAGGCTGGTGCTATTACTCATAAAAACAGTCAATATTCGAATGTTTACCGAAAAACAGTTAGTATTCGAATTCAGTATATAGTTTTCTGAAAAAAGGTCCTGAATAATCAATATTTGAAATGTACGTTTGCCGAAATATTTGGTCAGTACTCGAATTATAAAAATATATATTTATACTGACTGAAAACAGTCAATATCAAACATTATCGCAACTTGCGAGACGAAATCTTTCTTTTAAGGTCTCTTAATTTACACTTGTAATTTTTGCTGCGATTTCTAGTGCGATTTCTTTGTTAAATATTGATAAAGCTGTACCTAGGGGAAACAATAACAAAATAAAAAAAATAAATTTTCGTCTTCTGATGCATGCCAGTTTACGTCTTCTGATGCCTGCGAGTAGATCACTTCCGGCGAAGCACGGTAAAGACGAAGTCATACCACTTGTATTCTCATATATTTCGACCGGAGTTCACGAAATATAATTGCCAATTATACAAGGGCTGAGTATATGAATGTTCCGAGCATATGGGCGCTTTCCATTTAATGGCCTGACTGGTCAGACTCGAATTCTTTTCTCTGTATCAATGGAACGATTTGGTCTATGTTTCTCAAATATCTAGCGAATTTGGACCTCACTCTAATTCTATCTAAATTTTCTGGTCAGATAGGTCAGAAGCCCAAACGTTTTGTGTTCCATTCAACAATTTGACGGTTCTGACCGGTTTGGCCGTGTCAATGGAAAGCGCCCTGTGTACACAGTAGTACCCTCATCTCAACATTCATTATTCTTCCACTCGTTCACATCCAGCAGAAGAAGAAAATCGCACCTAAAATCGCAGCAAAAATTGCAAGTGTAAACCGGAAACTTTTTCAGTTCGGATTGAGGTGAACTAGCTCAGTCATTGTCTTTCTCATTTCTTACTGTTGTGATTTCAGCCATTTTGCGATGGTAGCCATAAGAAGACGGGATTAAGTCCATTACGTTTCAAGCTGGAAGAAAGTGAAATGAAGGTATTATGTGGATGTAAACAGACCAGTACTCCGCCATATTGTGATGGAACTCATAAATCTGACCTTGTACAATCTAGTGAAATTGGTCAACCCTGTAAAACAGTATAGTAGATTTTAATAAAAAAAAAATGAGTATACTACCGAGCGTATTGTAATTTATGGCTATATCAAGCCTTCTGTCGTACTTACTATATAGACTAAAGCCCCGTACAGACGCGCAATTTTTCCTTGACCAGTTTTATTTGCTCCTGTGGCTGTGTACGGCAAATTTTTCCTTGACAAGGAATTGTTCATGAGGGACATATGATGGAGATTGGGTGGTTCCATGCAAAAGTGTTTTTGTAAAGCAGATCGTTTGGCCGCAATTGATCGCCTCTTTTTAATTAGAGGAGTTATTGGAATAATTAATCTGTTGGAGTCAGCGCGCTAACAAAATTTGAAGATTACTCGCTCTTACTCGATGTACATGTACTTGAAAACTACACTTGTTTCTGGCAGTGGCATGCTGGCTCCTGTTCTTCAGGGGAGGCCGCCTCAACATTTGGGTCCCAACATTATATCTTTCCCAAAATACGTGTCGAGAGGGGGGATTTTCTAAACATTTTTTAAGACAATTTATTACGCGCCGCTCTTTCCTTATTTCATGGCTTCATGCGGTTTCGGCGCCCCCTAAAAGTTTATGCGCCCTCTAAAAACCCGCTAAGGGGAGGGGGGGGGGCATGGCTCCTCTGGCTCCCTGCCAACACGCCACTAGTTCAGTTTCTGGTGCTTCGCGAAGATTTCTACCAGGGTGCCAGGGCGTAATCTCGTATCCAAAGACTAGGAACGAGCTTGCCCATGGCATTTTGCTTCCGCTCTTGGTCGTCCCAGGAAATTCTTTCTAATATTTTCAAACTCAATGTTTTTAACAGTGCTTCGCACTCAATAGACCTTTCCCCTTATAACCAAAATTTTGATCTAGGCACGTCTAGACAAATATTTCATCACAGCTTGAAAGAGCATCACAAAA